ATCGTCGTCGCTGTCGTCGTCCTTGCCATTCTTCCCGCATTTGCTCTTCTTCTTCTTGTCGTCGTCGTCGTCGCTCTCGCTCGACGAGCTGCTGCTACTGCTGCTGCTGCTGCTGCTACTGCTGCTGCTGTCGTCTTGCTTCTTCCTCTTGGCCGACCGTTCCTGTCTCACCAGCACGCCTTCCTCTTCGACGTTCGGCGCCTCGACGTCGTCCTCGTCCGCGTCTTCCTCTTCAATTTTCGCCTCTCGAGCGACGAGCGACTTACTCGAGGAATCGAACGCGTCGTTCCGCAGCCCGGGATTCACCTCGATCTGCATCAACAGTTCGTTCACGTCGTCGGCCTCCGTCCTCGTGCTCAAATCGTACGGCGGAGACGCCTCGGTGAAGATCACCGAGCCCGCCGCGGCGGCGAAGAGGATTATCAACGCGCTGACACGCATTTCGTCTGGCACTGGTGGTCTCGCGTCGATATGGCGATATGAAATTCGTTGGCTCGTCCCCGTCGCGGCCTTATATACGTCCGACGGCGGCCTTCCGATGAAATCATGATGAAAAGAAGTGAAGGCGTATCGGAGCAGTGGTACTCACGTTCGCGCGGATGCTGATGGATCGCCGCCGACAAAGATTACTATGTTATTGGGTTAGCGGGGAGGAAATTGGGTGGCGATCCTTCTTAACTTTATTCCGCGTCGCGGAATAGCTTCCCCCGTCTCTTATCCTCATTCTTTTCTAATTCTACTCCCTCTGGATCCCCGGAGTCTCCGTATAGAAAAGTTCCACCTCGGGCGGCAAGTGTTCAATCAAAATCGTTCGCGTTATCACCGTGGAAACGGCTCTCGAATAGGTATTAAACATGGGAAATAGTATCTTCATCGTCTGCAGTAACGAACTAGAATAAAAAAGTGATCTCCGTTTCAAGGAAATATCTACGGAATTGCCTATTCGTCGAGCATTCCTCGCAAGAGGAACACTCATTATTCGAATACGCAACTACATTACAACCGATTTTTCGATATTTCGGGATTAAATACTTATTTCCAAGATTGGCGAAGGGATTTTAAGATTCGCGACAGTATTCGCAACAGCTACGACGAAATTGATTTTGTTTCCTCGTATCCCGATCCTGGATCCAGCGCCGTAGGAAACCAATTCACCGACTGCGACATAATCCACGATATGGATCGTCCGGGTCTCGAACCGAAGGAGATTCGAAAGCTGTTCGGCCGGGCTGCCGCGGAGACGTAAGAGGCTCCGGGGGGTATGCAAACGACACCGTAAACGAACGCCGGAAAAGCCGGCGGTCGTACGACCGAGAATTCGAAGGGGATTTTATCGGGTCGCCGCTCCGCGCCGCGCCGCGCCGCGCTGAAACGTTCGTTTCCGGAGGTCCGCGAGTGAAAAAGTAAAAGTGCCGTGTGAGTATCACTGTGGAGCGGAGGAGTCGTTATCGCCGTTAACCCTGCGATGCTCCGGTTTGATTTCTTCGCGTCCCGTCTCCGTCTCTCTTGATTCGCGGAAGGCGAGTCGCGGAATCAGCGCGGCTCACAGCAGTGATGTTTTCGGATCGCCGATTAGGAAAATACGCAACATCGAGACCTATGCACCCGATAATCGTTGCCCCAAAGATCTCGTCATCGTTCCATCGATTTCGCTCCTCCTCCTTCCCCGGCCTGCTTCCGGCAGCTGCGTTTTCTTTACAACCGTACCGTGGATTTTCCGCCTCTGTTTCCCAAACTTTTCCTATCGCGGAGCTTTCAAGTTTCTATCCAGCAACGATATCCCTCGCGTTTTCGCGTCCCGCACGAACGTTTTTGTATTTTCCCGGAGCCGGCCGCTGTTCCCTCGGAGAGTGATATCGAATCATTTCCCATCGTCGGAAAGTTTCCAGGTTATAACGGTGTAATTTTCTCGAATGAAAATCGTGGACAATAGCACGGATCGCTGTGCGCCGAGCTTTAAACGCGGGCTCTATCGACTCGAGAATTACGGTTCTCTGGCTAATTTTATTCCAGCTTCCTTTCGCTTCTATTTCCCTTCGATCTCGTTCCATTTTAGTCCCAGTCGGTCCAGCAACGCCGGTACCGCCTTTAGCCGGCTGAATTCGGATTCCTTTCCTCGGTAACGGCGAAAAATTCCCCGTTTAATTTCGTTCACGGCTCTTTCAATCACTAGATTGCATCTCGATCAGCCCCGGAATGGAATCGAACATCCCGTGAAGATCTGCCAGTAGATATTTCAACCGTTCGTAGAAACTTTCATGGAAAAATGTTGGGAGGGGGAGGGATTCGGTTTTTACTCCACGTCGGAGGTAAACACGTGCGTCGAATTATTTCTCTTTGCTTCGTTCCGCCTGCATCGCGTCGCGTCTTCGAATTTCCATCGAGCGGGGGCGTCGGATTTCCATTTGAGATCCGAGATATCCCGGTGATCCTTGAACTCCCCGAGAAAGGAAGCCAGACGTGTGCCACCCTTCAATCTCATCGAAACTGTCTGCGAACACGATCGTTCCGACTCGTAAATCCGGCTGTAATAACCGTCCATTTTGTCGGGGATCCTCGTTCACGCCCAACCGCGGACCTAGCATAACGACCTGACCCGTGGGTCGTCGTTGCGTTTCCACGTAACGCCGGCTTTCGCAGCGCCGGCGTTACGTAACCCCGGCCATTTGTGAACTACAAACACCCCCGTCGTCTCCTCGAACTGTTCAAATTCTCGTTAGAGCCGGCCGAAGCGACCGGGAAACTCCGAGACCGACAACGTTCCGGCGTGCCGATTAGCCGGGAACTCCTCGCGACAAACAAAGGAACGAAATATAACGATTCCCCAATCCCATAGGAAACTTACAGCTTCGCACGTGCTTGCAATAGGTAATCGTAATCTCTGACAATCCCGACGCAGTCGAGTACGTCAGGTTCGGAAGACAAATGGAGTCTGAGAAGGTAAGATTCCAAGATGAAAAATCGCAAATCGGGTTAACCGGGAGATCGTCGATTCTCCTGTAAATTCTATCGTATATGTACCGATCTATTTTCTCCCCGGCAACCGTGATGCATTCAATAGCGAATTCCGATTTTTCCTTGCCCGATCCAATTACCGTCCGGCGTGTCGCGCAATTTACCCTCCGATCTATCTGCTGCGTCAGACACAATTGCGCCATGGGAATCGGCGAATGGAGCCGGGCTGGATCATAGATGATCTCGAGCTCACGAGATCGTCTTGGTCCCCGTAACGCGTAAGAATAAAGTGCGTCCGGTTTCCACGGGAATGAAGCAATTTGCCGTTGCGAAAACGACGGGTCGGGACGCGTTTCCTTGGGGAGAGGGATGGTCCAGGGGTCGGCACGTTAAAACCTCGCTGTTCGTTCGTGTTCAGATCGGCGGAGGAGATCATGACGATGCTTCTGGAGGCCAGCGAGGAGGGCGTGGAAGGAAATAGAGACGCAGGACGCATCGTATGGGGCGTGCGTTACACTTTCGAGGACGAGGAGGACAACGGGTCGTCGCAGTTCAATGGGATGCGGGATCATCACCCTGCGGAGAGACGGAAGCTGCAAGCTAGGTTCGAGATACAGAAGGACGACATTCAGGCTGTCCTGCCTATCTCCAAGGTGAGCGATGCAAACGTTTCTTGTAGTCCTAACGAGCGAGACCTTACGGAGGTAGTCAATTGGTACGGTAGTCACCGGAGAGTTCGTGCCGGTTCTTAACACTAGATTTACGGAACCCGTCGATTTGACGGATATTGGATTTTTTGAAGTTGGTGGAAATTTGGTAACAGTAAATAGTGTTTAAAGATTTTCAAATTGAAGTTAACACTGCGTACCGGCTAATTTTCAAACTGAATTGTGCGGATGGCAATTTTCACTGAGGTCGACTTATATTATTATATATAGAAGAACTCAGATATATTGTTATGTAATATATTTTAAACAGATAATCGATTTGAATGAAATTTTATATTTTTTTCAAAGCTGTGGTAATTAGCGGAGTTGCATAGTGTCTTTATATAAAAACGAGATTTCTCGTTACCGGTACGCAATGTGCTGACGCTAGATTTACGGAACCCGTCAATTTGACGGATATTGGGCTTTTTAAACATTATTTGGTAACAGTAAATAATGTTGAAAAGTTTTAGATTGAAGTCTGTTAAGCGAAGTTACAATTTTCGCGATTTATATGGACGAACACGTAGTTTTCTAGGAACAATAGAATAAAGTGTGGAATACACGTCCGTAAATCTAGTGTTGATTTTAAAGTTAAAATCAGGGCAGGCTTTCGAAAATGTTTTTTGATGTCAACAACATAAATATAAGTTGCTGACAATGGCAACTTCATTCGAAACCAGTGAAGTACTGATTAAAATCTGACCTTAATTCATTGCTAACAGGAAAACACGTTCTTCATTTGCCTAATGGGGGTTACGGGTGACCCTAACCACATTGAATTACTACAGTTCACTCAATGAATGATTATTCGAAAGCATTTCTATATTATAAACATTGCTGCTTAGAGGAATATGTAATAATAACGCAATTCAACCGAATTATTAAATATTATACTGTCCACTGTATTTTGCTCTATGAAACCGTGCGGCGTTCAACGTGCTAACTCTTCGCGCTCCTATGTCCTACGACCCGACAGTAGATTTATCTTAAAGTATCCTTCTCTATCAACACATTTAACCCTTTACACTCGAAAGTGTCCCACCTGAAATATTCAATACTTTCTAATCCGATATAGACAAGATTCTTTAAAATGAATTTATCAAGAAATTAGGGAACAAAGCTATTTTCTTTCAGTATTTCACGTATTGATGCAGTATACAAAGTTAAAAAATCAATCAAAGTTAAATCATCTCGAGCCTGGGAGTCGCCTCCCGAGTCCAAGGGTTATTTGCAATATACTATTACACTATTTTCAATAGTATCAATATAAACAATTCTCTACATTGTTTCCCACTAAATATATTCCAAAGTATTTCAAGTAAACCACTAACAGCAATACAGAATCATAAAAAATTAAACATAAAAGTAACTCAGAATACGAGTTAAAAAGAACCAGCACCAAGTGAGTCTTCCATCGATCACTTCAATGACTGAGTTATACATATCACTCTAATCCGAACTCGACGCTAAACCGCGTCACGCTTATTTCCTAACTCACCGAAGAATCCGGTGCAAACGGTGCCGCGGACGTGTCCAGAAGCATCCCGCAAACCGATCTGCCATCGGCTCCCGGCGGTTTACGTTTGTAAGGTGGCGGATAATAGTTGGCCCGGGCATAATATCGATATATACGTGTCGAACGATTTTCATTCCCGCCAACTGTGCTCGCGAACGTGCGGAATTCCGCGGCGGGATTCCGGCGCCGTCGGAAATAGAGGAATCCAGGTGGCCGGGGGATGAGGACGGCAGGGACGAGCCAATATCGTCGTCCTCGCAGGACCTGCGAGCACGATTTTCAGGCCAGCCAACCCCGAACCGTCCACCGGTGCCCACGCCCTCTCCTCCTCGAAATCTCTTGAAAAAGAATCCGCTAAGTTGCACGATAACCGCCCGGCAAATGTGCCGATCGATACCGGACGAGTACGTGGCGCGCACGGCCTCGCGAATATCCGCTTCCACGCTGCTCGATCGACGATCCGCCGCGCTTCCTTCGATGAATCATTATTTCAGCCGTTTATTTCGAAAGTGGCTGAACACTGGAACTATCGGACGGGCAGAAATGATCCTTTCCTGATCTCGTTTTTTCCTGTTACTCGACGGACGCTTTGAAAAAGTAGAGAAACTGGTTTAGCGATACACAAAGTGAATCGCAGACTAACTGACGTCTGAATAATTGCAGTGTTGAGGTTACAGAAGGATTTCAAAGAGACAATTTAACTGCTCGGTGGTTCTGGTGTTAAGTCGATTTTTCGAAGAAATTGAGTGAACTGTTGTAGTAGTTAGAATTGTATGTAATTCTGTTATTTTTTCGTAGTTTTCTGATCATTTTAAGTGGACTTAAGCCACTTTCAAGATATACGGTTCGTTTGAAAAGATTTCTGTATGCAATGCTGCTTAAGGTGTTGACATATTAGTGATATTTCATTAGAAAATAATGAATATTTTTTGAGAAAAATATTTTCGAGTGCAGAGTCCCTTTGCGGACGGATGTCGGCATTTCGGTAAGATGCGATGACATTTGGAAGACTAACTCGCGAGGGAATGATTTAATTAGTTGAACAGCAAGTGATCAGAACGTGGTTTCCTTTTTTTATTAATTAAGCAATTGATATGTAATTTAGCTTCGTATATCGAAGGTCTTCTATGTTTCGAAGATGCTGGAATGTTCATAATTTGGAAAACTAACTCGCGAGCGAATGATTTAATTAATCGAACAGCAAGGGACCAGAACGTAGTTTCCATTATACCTATTAATTAACACCATTTCTACCGATGGTGTCAAAAGACACGAAATTTTAACTTACAATTCTTTTCTCAGTTGAACAATTCTTCCCCAATTGAATTTTGGACACTTCCTGTAGCTAATATTACAATCGTTATCGGTAAAGTCGAGGATCCGTTCAGAATATACGACTAAGGTTGGAAAGTAATTTTAAATCGAAATTTCGACAGGTGTCCGTCGACACCTCGGTGGAAATAGTATTAAGCAATTGTAACGTAATTTAGCTTCGTACATCGAAGGTTTTCTATTTCGAAGAATCTTCGCCAGCAAAGGGTTAAATATTATTGGTCGCGCACGCTGTCCAGGCAGTATTGTGGACGTGGCGTAACACTTTCACACGCCGAATTAACTTCGTGTGAAATGGATGCGATGAAAAAAGGCTTCTCCTTTTCTCGTTCGATAGTGGACTGTATTTGTTTAATATCGACTGAAAGGAATGTGTATGTGTACACAAAGTTACAGTATGCGTGTTGTCCAGTGAGTACAGCGTGATTAGTAATGAACTTGTGATGTATGTCTGTCTGTCTGTCTCAATGTCTCTCTATATATCTAGGAGAAAGAGAATTTTATTTGAAACAGTATAATTATTTCATCACAGCTCACAATAAAACACTAACTCAATTAAACAACGCACACACTATTTATATACTCAGATGCTCTCGTCTCACTCACACACTTTCTAGAACATTCTTTCATCACCATGCATTAACTTCACATATATTTGGAATATTCTAGATTCTTAAAAAAACAACATTATTAACATATGGAGAAAATCAATATAATCTAGAATATTCGAACGCTTTGAACATTCATTCAAAACGCGCTCACACAAATTCATCACTCAAATACATCCATTCCCACATATATATAAAAATACAGAGATAGGGCGGTGTCCTTAGTGACAAATCGGAAGGCTAGAATGCTCGAGGTGTTGCTAATTGCCGTTTTTTAACCTACGCCCACATTACTGGTAGCGGAGGTAGAGGGTACGTCTTCCCTTCTGATCTGCAAAGGTACCGATAGCTGTGCGCTCGGGGTTCAGGTCGTTGAGCTGCCGCTTTTTTATATGTTAGTTTCGACAGCTCATTTATGACATCGGATCTAAGGATTGCAGCCAGCAATGAAATGCTTCCAAAATTTACTTATTACCGTGCTTAGACATCAGCGGTCATAATTGGTCATGCTATAAATCTTCACGCACCGATAGCTACGTCTAAGCTAAATAAACCGTGCCGGAACAGTTATACTTTTCCATTTCTCGTATTTCGCTCTGGGTCGCTCGATCAACGATCCGCCGCGCTTCCCTCGCTTAGGAAGGAAGGGATTCGGTCCCTGGCAAACGGCTCGAGCCGCGTCAAAGGATAATGCTTTCCTCCCAACGATAAAGCAACCAGACGCGACGCGCCGCGGTTGCGACTCAGCTGTATCTGCGGACGATCGATACACCTTTGCCCTATCCTGCGCGTATTTTTATCGGGAGAGAATTGCAATCTCGTCCTCGATAAATCGTTGCGCCGCGGGAATTAACGGCGAGAATACCGGTTGAATCGATTAGTTACACTTTTAACCCTTTGCGGACGAAGATTCCTTGAGGTACAGAAAACGATCAGCAGATGAATCTAAATTATATATCGATTGCTTACATAATTGAAAAAGAAACTACGCGCGACCTCTTGTTCCGAGTAATTAACACGTTTGCTACCAGCGTCACATATTAATGACGGCTGCAATCCATATTAGATAAAGAAACTGAAATCTATTTATTTTCTATCTATTTAGATATAGGATCTATCCTATAGATATTATTATTCAGGGTTATATGATATTTAATAGTATAGTATAAGGTTTTATATTTACGAGCTCAACGACTTTTACTTCAATTTTTTCAATACTGTGTTTAGACTCGTTGGTTCGACTAGAATGTTACAATTAAATGAAATATTACAAATTTCAACAATCGAATATTACGATTGAAATTGACAGACGACAATATTGTGATCGTCACCGAAACAAACGCCGGTAGCGTTAAATCATCCGCGACTTGGCGTTACAAATATAGAAATTTCATTTCGCGGAATGTCGACATCAAGTTTAGCAGAAACTCTAGCGGTACGATTATCGAGGCTCCGGTTGAATTATATATTATCTCGCCTGTCACCGCGTCGATTCGCATGCGCTAGAGCACCACGGAGAGGCAGCTGCGTTCGGTAACGACGAAAGAAGAAATTAGGAGCGAGCGATCCCGCGTCATCGCGTCGTAGGCGATCAGTTGATAGTTTCAAGGCTCCGGCACAGAAACGGGGAAAATAGGATAGAGGCGAATGATATCACCGGCCATGATTTACGATTCGATAACCCTCGACAAAGAGAATTTGAATCCGCCGGAGCACAGATCGCCGGCGGATCCGGTGTTTCTTTAGAAAACTATTTAATGGCTGTAATTCCTGCTCGATCGTCTCGGGGCTCGACAACTTCCATACTACCCTTGTTAAGGGAACTTTTTTCCGAGCGAACTTATCATCGAACGATCCTATTATTCCTCCGTTAACGCCATTTCCTGCGCGACAGACTTTTCCCCCCCGGCTCGTTAGACTCGTTGTTTCCCTTTCAACGGCGAATTATTCGAAAGTTGACGGGAATCGGTTTAATTTGCGAGCAGTCCCTATTGTAACTCATCGTCGGCTGCGCACTCGGACGGCGGACGTCGGCTTCCGCGCGATCCCGTTCGCGTTCTCTTCGCGCTCGTCCCGTCGGGCGAATAAATCGCGTTTAGGGGCAGGGTGTATCGCGGACATTAGAAAACACTCAGCCGTTCCGTCCCGCGAGTAGCAGCGGGTCGTGTTGCGTTAACGCGCCGGGTTGGATTTTCCGTTCGAGATAAAACTTCTGCCCGGCGCAGTTTTTACCCTCGATCCGGGCAGCCATACGACTTCGCTCGGAGTAATTTATTCGTCGCTCGGTTCTTTGGCCACGATTTCGTAAGCTAAGGACGCCGGCTAATTGATTCCGTTCTTCTAGTCGCCGAGTCTAATCTATTCTTTCGCGAACTCGGTCGCCCGTAGTCCAGGAGCGCGCAGCGCAAAATCGCGAGGGCCGGCTGATTAATGAATCATCTAATTAATTCGTTTACATATTCCTTCAGAGAAGTTGCAGGATGCTTCTTGATCATCCTAGCTCTAATTGCCGCTCCGCTTGCAACGCCGCGCAGGGGCGGGCGGGAGTTTTTAATTAAAAGAGGAACGCCCTGCTTTCCTCGTAAACCTCCCTCGTCCGGCTTAGCGCCAGCATTGACACCGGTTCCAGCACGTAACCCAACCGACGAGGTCTGCGAGCGTTTAATCAGCGGGAAGAAAATATTTCGGCGACCATTGCGCCGCAGGTATAAATACACCGCCGGAAAGATCGGCAACTGGCTAGGGAATTCCACTCGAGCTAGAGCCCTTTGACCAACCTCTTCGATAATGCATAGGCTAAATCCCGTCGAAACTGCGAACCGAACTGGCTAAGTGGATCAGAGATTCGCCGATAAGCTCCGCTGGTTCTGGCCTGGACGAACCTGGACCAGATAACTTCTCGCTTCCTTCGAGCAGCCCGCACTACCGGTTGCCCCGTTCCGGTCGTTTCAACGCTCATCGGCGAACAAAGAGATCTACGTGGAAATCGAGACGCGACGCAGAAGCGATCGAATGAAACGTTTCGCCGGATGAGTGATTGCGACATCCGTGGAAGTATCTAGGCCTCGAACCGCAGCGAAAGAAAGAGGGCTATTCATAGCCGTGATTCTGGCCTTCGAGGCCTAGATCCGCAGCGCAAAATCGCCGAAACGAGTTCGCGTTTTACACGGGATCCCGGATTCTAGGCGAGCTTCCCCGAGGCGTATCAAATCGCGGGCTCGGGAAGCATTCGGAGAGCTGCGGACCGCTCGAACGTTGAACCGGTCGACCTCCCGCGGAGCTAAGGACGCTGGATCGGGTATCCATCAATGAGAAGATGGTCCGCGAGGCGTAGACTGCTATCCGCACGTACAACATTGGCGGATGGATAGAGAGCGGCTCTCCCGGGGTCAGAGATTTAAATTCCCTGGCTGCAATATCCGAGTCGTTTGATGTTTCCTTCCAAAGGGCAGACTGTACGGAAGCCAACTTGGAAATGGCTTCGTGCTCGGCCCCGTCTCGCGTCCCTCTTCCTAAACCGTCCTCTTTCCCAGCGGCTGCAAAGTACACACACGCTCGCAAGCTACACGAAGCGGACCGGACCAGGTAGCGCGTAGAACAACTTGCATATAGCGGTCGCGCGCGCGGCGGCCTGCATGTATATGAAACGGCCCTGTGATTCCGGCCGGCCAACCAGGGCCCTTTAGAACCCTTTCCCGGGCCAGAGTTCGCGACCGGTCGCGAAACTTTTCCGACAACGCGCCCTCGGGAGCAAACAAAAGCGCCGGACGAGAAACGATCGCGCCTCCGAATCGAGCCGGGACTGCTCGGTGAATGGAGCCGAGTCGCTTTAACGAGCCCCGCGACAACCCGGCCGCGACAAAGGCGACGATTTAATCGAGTTCTCGGTCTCTCTCCCCTCTGCCGTAGAACTGGGAGGTGATGAACACCGCGGTGCTGACGGGACGGCAAGTGTCGCAGGGAATGAAAGTGTTCATCGTCAGCCAGGCCGGTACCGTCGCCGACGTCACGCTCCAGTCCTCCTGTCACTCCGAGGATGAGAGTGTACTTAAGGTACGTCGTTCCTGGAACTTTTCTCATTCTCCTACACCGGCGGAGGTCGACGATGATGTTAATTAATTAGACGGTGTGTCGTCTCCTCGACTCGATCCCGTCGCGCGTACGCGAGTCACTTTCGCTCGCGCGATTAATACCGATGCCGAAGCGATTGAGACGCGGATGTCGAAGCGAACGTCTCGTGTATCATTAACCGAATTGTCTCGCAGGTGTCGTCTTCCTGCAGCAGCGTGTACGTGGACGGCACCGAGATCCGAGGGTCCAGCAACGCGTCCGTGTTGGTCAAGTACGGTACGTACACCGGTCTAGCCAAGTTCACGGTGTGGATGCCGGAGTTTCCCCTGGCGATCACAGTCGAGGACACCAGGCTCAGCCAGATCAAAGGCTGGAAGGTCCCCGAGGAGCACGTGGTCAGCGCCAAGAGTAAACGCAGCCTGAACGCCACTGGCTCAAGGGCGAACGAGTCTTCCGCGAAAACGAAGAAGAGGAGCGCGGCGGACGTCGAGGACTCGATAGACGACACCTCGATGGACGTGGACGACGCCGACGTGATCCTCGAGGAGGACGATCAGGACGAGAGGTTCCGGGGGAACGATCCCGGCTGGGACACGATCAATTCCATCGAGAGAGGCTCGTCGACCTTGTGCAGACTGAGGTTCCAGCAGAGTCCGGTCGAGGTTCACGCGAGATTCTTGGCTACCGATCACGACTCCGGCAGGGTCTCCTACTTCGTGAACCGTAGGACTTGGCTGCGGGTCACCGACCTAGTGATGGGGATGCTGCGCGTGTCGGATCCCAGAATAGCCACCCTCTTGCAGGGGAGGATCGTGCAAGGTCGCGGTGTAGGTATAACGGAAGTGCAGGTACTCTCGCCGATCACTGGCAGAATCATCGGAGCGAAGGAAGTGAAGGTCGGGAACGTGCGGGTGGCCGTCACCAGGCTGTCGGTCAGGGTTGTGTCCGGTCTGCAGCTCACCATCAGTCCGGACAACGCCATAGAGAACGGCTACGTTGCCGAAACTTCGGTCACCAGGCGGTTGACAGCTAAATATCAGGTAGCTATTTCTACTGACTGCAACTGAATCGTCTCATCTCTCGGGGGAAGACTGTTAACTATATTCTTGAATTCTAGGAGGGCTTATTGGACATAGACGTCGAATTCTCGGACGGCACGAGAACACCGCTACGGGAGATCGCCGTGACCGATTACCATTTGTCGGTGGAGAGCTTGGATCAAGAAGTAGTGGCGTTCGCGCCGATGGTCGCCTCCCATCATCCCCGTGTGATCGCCGTGGGCGAAGGACGGGGCGATCTGCTGCGAGTCAAGCTGCAGTTGGCGGACGCTTGCCGTCTAGGCGGCAGGAGGTCTGGGAAAGTGTCTCAAAGGGCGACGACGTCCGCTTTGGCTACCGCCTCGGCCAACGTCGAGGTGGACTTCGCTTCGAGCGAGCTCCCCAATCGACCCGAGTTCGTGCAGAACGATGGAGGCGGCACTGTTGGGTCTCACCACCACAGAGAAAGGAAGACCAGCAGGGGGGAAATGGCGCCAGATATGCGCGACATTCTCATTGGTAAATAGACCCTGTTCCCGTCTGTCGCATTGATCAGTCGCTTACCAGAATGCTTCTCTGTGTTTGTCTTTTCCTCGCACTTATCCTCGCTGTTTGCCATTGCCTGCGGTCGATGTCCTTACCTTCCCGCAGTCGTCGCGCGGTCGCTTCGCGGGGAAGATCATCCGGTGGATTTCTCTGTCGCTTCTACACGCCGGTTGTTCTTTCTGTTTTACGAATCGATCGCTCGTCGCTTCGCACTGCCGCTTACCGTCGACGCGCTCTTGCTTATCTTGACGGATGGAGGACAACACTAGAACTGCTAGATTTCTTTTGATACAATCGCCGAGAAGGTACTGATGCTTCTCTGGGAAATCATTGACCCCTTTGCCTGTGTTTGCCTTTTCAACTCTGAGGCTACTTTGTCGTTAATAATTTATTGGAAGAAAAATTCTAAGCATACGTTACGCCTATGTTTCCTTTTAAGTAACAGTTGATTATAGAAGAATATTTACTTTGAATTCGAATAAACTGAGTAATATATGTATTCGTTGAATCATTTGAAAATATTCACGAGTCTCACTCGTAGGACAAGAGTTGAAGAAGCTGATTTAGTAAAACCTACGCTGAAATATGAACCAATTGACGGCTTAGTAAATACGCAGTTACAAGTTTTATAAATAGTAGCTTTAATGCTTTCACGGTCTGGAATATTACATTCATAAGTGGCTTTCGGCTGAGAGCCGTGTCCAATAGTAGTTTGTTCAACGTTTCGCCATCATCGAGCAGCTGTTAGAGACACACTGATACTAGCGTGTGCCTAGGAAGACTTTAGCCCCTGATAAAGCCAGCTGCAATGATGGCGGAACGTTGAGAACAAATTCCTTTGAACAAGGCTCTCTCCCGAAAGCCACTTACGAATGTAACTTTTATAAAGCAATTTGGCAAAGTCAGTTTAAGTGCTCGGTAGTTCTAGTGTCAAACGTTGACTTCCACGAAAAGCATCAGCGTTTTATCACTTATCCTTTTTATAGCAAAGATACAAAGCAAGAATTATTAATTATTTGATATGAAAATTCTTATGTTACGCTATTATCTAGTTACTCAATCAATTATCACTTACGAAATTATCCTCCAAGTCGTAATTATTTCCTTGTAATTTGAAAGCTGTCATCGGTGACCACCGTGGCAGTCAAAGTGTTAACACATTGCGTACCGATAACGAGAAATCTCGTTTTTCTATAAAGACACTTAGCTATGCAACTTCGCTAATTACCACAGCGTTGAAAACAATATAAAATTCAATTCGAATTGATTATCTATTTAAAATATGTTACATAACAATATATCTGAGTTGTTCTATGTATAGTGATATAAGTTGACTTCAGTGAAAATTGCTATTCGCACAATTCAGTTTGAAAATTAGCCGGTACGCAATGTAACTACTACGGTGGTCGATGATCGGAGCTTCGAAATTTCCGAGGAAAAATTACAATAAAAAACTTGATTTTAAATAAAAATATTTAGTAACATAAGTAGCTAGATCACAGCGTAACATGACTACTGTGATACTAAACCGTTAATAATTACTTTCAATATCATTTGCCTTTGTTATTAAAGAACAAGTATCACTATTCAAAATGCTAGAAATTCTCGTGGCAGTCAACGTGTTAACCAGTTAAGTGTGGGATTTAGTTCGAAAAATCTCTCATTGTACGCGCAATAAAATCAAATAATGAAGCATATACTCGCATATACTCTAACGAAAATCTAAAGCGAAACGAAGAAGCATTGTTTGTCTCGAAAAATAAATAATCCATCGTTGAAAAGGTTAGCACCATTAAGGGTTTCAAGATGACGCGTATACTCGTCAAACACGGTTAACTGGTTAAAAGAACGAAATCGAATTCCTGAATCCTCCGACCGTCAGGTGTTCCCCCGCATGTATTCGCCTCGCTTCCCGCAACCGGCTGTACGCGCGCGGGAGGATACCAGCTTCGGGAGCCCCCGCGTTCCCATTCACTCGACCGTTTCTCACTCTTCTCCTCTCTCTTTCTGTCTCTTTGTTTTCTGTGCAAAGGGCTACCGCTGAAAGACGAGAACGAGCACGAGCCTTTGGTACAGGCGCGCCAGCACCGCACGGCTATAGCTAATGGCATGTCTTCAGGAGGAATGAGCGGCGTCGGTATACGGCACCACGGCGGAGCGCGCATGAGCCCACTCGAGATCGGAATATACGTCCTCTTGGCGGCCTTCTGTTTCGCTATCGTCGTCTTCGTCGTCTCCTACGTGGTCTACGCCAGCAAGTTCAAGCATCAGCCGCCAGACTCGCCGCTGGCGGACTCCTCCGCGCTTCCGGTCCTCTCCGGCGCGGCGAGGGCGAGAGCAGCCGCCAACCAGCTGGCCTCGGGACGAAGACCACCCAGAGAATCGACGACGAACGCTCACGACTGGGTCTGGTTGGGTCGAGCCACTCTCGAGAGGGCTGCTTGCGGACCTCAGCAGGTAGGCCATCGTTCAGGTAGATCGTTCGACCACGAGCTTCAGAGACGCTCCGGTTTTAGCCTTCGACTGTTGGATAACTGCAGCGTTCCGATAGGGTTAACCCCTTGTCGCAGTAACGTGTTAGACACGTGGTGCAGATTTTGGAGATTACTGGCATGGTTTGCTCGATCCTTTTGGATTCAAGTGGAATATTCTTCTGTTATCAGTTATTACACTTTGGAGCAAAAATTGATATAGAATAAGCCTATAATTTTATTTTCTTCCTTAATACAGCATTAACACGTTAAGCGCCTAAAGTTAGATGACTGACGTTCCCGAGTTACTGGAAAACAATCGTAACAGCAAGATGACCGATGTCGAATGGAAATGGTTAATAACGTCACTGATAATAGTGTAATGTAAAGATAAATAATTAATAATTCCTGCTTTCTTTTGCTACAAAAGAATAACTACAGAAAAACGGTTAAGATATTTATGGTGCTTAACGTGTTAATGACAAGGTAGTATCGATCGTGGCTGAGAAGTAAATCGTAAGGGGTTAACGCTAGATTCAAGGAACCCGTCAATTTGACGGATACTGAATTTTTAAGCATTAAGTAACAGTTTGTCGACTTTGATTCGTTATTATGCGAATGAATATTGTAATACTCTAGTTTCGAAGCTACAATTTTCGCGACGTATATGAATACACACTTGACTTTTATAACTAATACAATAAAGAAACATTCAAGAAACGTTCCCTTGCAGGTACGAGTGACCAGCAATCCTCTGGCCAATGAAACCGACGGGGACACCAGCGAGCTGGCCACTTGTTTCGACAATCCCAACCACATCGAGCTTCCTTCTTCCGGGCAACGCACCACCAACGGACCTATCGACACCACCACGTACTGCAAGAGGGACAAGCATCCGAGGAACAGTTTCGCCGCGAAATCCGCGGCAAGACCGTCGGTCGCTGTAACGGCGACCACCGTCACTACTCCGGCGTCTATGGCAACGTCCACCGTCACCACATCGCGAAACGAGTAAACGTCTTCTAAGTTTCCGTGTGAACCCTTTGCGCTCGAGAGGTGACTCTCACCACTAGATTTGATGTAGCAAGATTATTAATTAATAGTCTTATATACAGGGTGATCCACGAAGCGTGATCAGCTTAGATTATTCTGCTGCCAGCGGTATGAAATTCTGTTAGCTAAGATAACATGGTTCCAGTGAATGAATACTAATCTATCAGGAGCTCTAGAAAGTGTACAACAGTGTGGCTTCTTATTCCTCTGTAATAATCTTTAAGAATCTTGCAAAACTTCCAACTAAGAGCTTTCTTCAGTCTGTTTAGATTCAGAGAAAATATTTGTTATAATACTTGTTAAATTCGTCTCGGTATCTCCCAAAAGATAAGTGTAAACAAATTGTAGGTTTACCTGTAAGAAAATTGATGGTAACCTTGATAACTCTGAAGAATCATAACTCTGTAGAATCATCTTAAAGTTTGAACTATGTTATCTTATTCAAGAAAATTTCTGATCGCACGGCTAGCTGCAGAATAATCTAAGTTGATCATTCTCGGTCCATCCTGTATAACATTATGCTTCATGCAATGCATCGAAATGCGAAATAGTCAAAATACGTTCCTTAGTTCAATGTAAACGAGTGTTCTTCTCAAGAAATATTGCGCATTTCCATTGAAAAACTGTCGAGTGCAAAGGGTCAATCGTCCTGGCAATTATCATTCGCGCATTCTAACGAGGAATCCCTGTCACAGTAACGACGACATTCCGCCGCCCCTGCCGCCGCACGGAGTTCCAGTCTCGACCGGCATGAACACGACCGCGGCCACGATCGCCACGTCCACGAACAACAACAACAACAACAACGGCAACGACGACTACAAGCCGCCGGTGCCGCCGCACAGGAACACGGGCGTGATCGTGCGGCTGCCGGAGACGCCGCGCAAGCACCGGCACAGAGCGTCGAGCGGCAGCGCGGCCGGAAGCCATCACGGGAACAACCAGCGGCACAGCAAGCAGATCCATCATATCAAGCCATCGCACGGTAAAGCTAGAGTAGGTAGCCCGAAAGAGATCGGCGCGGCGGAGGAGGAGGAGTTCGTCGAGCTAGTGAATCACGATGACAACAGGCACTCGAAGGACGCGAGAGCGAGGGAGGTGAAGAGGGCGACGATCGTCGGTAACCCGATGTTCTCGTCGTTCTCGACCACGGCGGTCGCATCATCGATGAACGTGTCAAGCCCGACCGTAGCCTCATCGTCCTCGTCACCGCCTAACTCGTCGCCGTCCTCGTCATCCTCGTCCTCCTCCTCCTCCTCCTCATCCTCGTCCCAGGAGCAGGAGGAGTCGGTGGCGTTGGACGACCTGAATCTAGGCATGGACTACAACCAGATCATGCAGTACTTCGACAACCTGAAGGAGTCGAACGCCTAGGTGAAGGCGTGCGGCCTTCGAGAAGGCCGAGAGTAGTCAACGTCGATACGGAACGCCGGCGGATGATCCTTTCTCGCCGGGAGCGCGGCGGCCGAGCTCGCGTCCACGTCTCTCCGCTTCCTCTCTATCGCCATTAGCACGTTTACATCGAGAGGGCCGAGCCCGGCCGGCCGCCGCCGTCGCCGCCGTCCGGTCGTTTTGTATTCTAGGCTATAATCTAGTCAGCTTCCTAGCAGCACATCAAGAGTATCGCGCAAAACGCATCGACACACACTTAAATACGCGTTCTCTCGTAACAGGTATAATCAGCGGAAGACGTAGAGTATATAGAGTGGACGGCTCCGCCGGGGCGGCCGGGAACGCGGCGCGCCCCGCCGCTGGACGTTCGATATCTCAGGATCGCATTCGGTATACCTTTTGTACGCTAGAATACTAAAAGGCCTGAGACAGACAAAGAGAAATCCCGTCGCGACTTCTTCTGTTTAACGGGAACACGGGATTTCTCAGCGGATAATGTTCCCAGGGGTTCAAACACTGTACAGCTTCCGTCGACTATACACGCATACACATACTCGCAGAGGCTTTAAAACGAAAAAGGTGTGATCGTCGGTGGCCGGTGGGGTAGGTAGATCGCGCGCTCGATTCGACCAGCTTTCTTCTCGTTGTTCTTTTTTTTCTTTCTTTTTTTTTGTCCCCCTCCGCGGATCGATCGACCGGCGATCCTCGCTTCCGCCTCCGTGCACTATCGATCTCTCGCTCAAGCCCTCTGTTCGCGACGGCCGGACGGA